CCCAAACCTGAAGAAGGAAACAGATCTCCAGGTACAGGAAGCACAGAGGCTCCCAAACAAGATGAACCCAAAGAGACCCACACCAAGACATGTCATAGTTAAAATGGCAAAAGTTAAAGATAAAGAGAGGATTCTAAAGGTAATGAGAGAAAAACAGAGTCAGTTACGAGGGAACCCCCCCCCCAACATCATAAGCTGATTTCTCTGCAGAAGCTTTGCAGACCAGAAGGGAGTGGCATGATATGTGCAAATTCCTGAAAAGGTAAAACCTGCAACCTGTGATACTCTATCCAGCAAGACTATCACTTAGAATAGGAGGAGAGACAGAGAATTTCTCAGACAAGCAAAAACTAAAAAAATTCAGCCATACTAAACCTACACTATAAGAAATACTGAAGGGTCTTCTCTAAATGGAAAAAAAGAATCTATAGGAAAGGGAAAATCCCAATAGGAAAGGCAACTATAAAGTAAGGATTGAAGATCACTTAAATAAATCAGTACATAGATTAAAAAACAAACAGAAAATGTAAAAGCGATTATAACTACAATAAGCAGTAAAAGAATAAGCATGAAGATGTAAAATAGTACATCAAAATCACAAAATGTGGAGGGAGTAAAAAATGTAGATCTTTTAGAATGTGTTTGGACTTGAATAACTTAGTTTAAAACAAGTAGATATAGTTATGGATCAACATACACGAACCCCATGGTAACCACAAATCAAAAACATACAACAGATTCACAAAAAAGCAAAAAGAAAGGAACTCAAGCATACTACAAAAGAAACTCACCAAACGACAAAATGAAAAAGAATAAAGTAGAACTGGAAAACAAGGAATAAAATGGCAATAAGTACATACATATCAATAATTACCTTAAATGTCAATGGACTAAATGCTCTAATCAAAAGACACAGAGTGGCTATTGTAAAAAAAAATGAGAAACTGCAATATGCTGCCTAAAAGAGACTCACTTCAGGGCAAAAGACATACCAGACTGAAAGTGAAAGGATGGAAAAAGATATTTCATACAAATGAAATGACAAGAAGCTGGGGGTAGCAATACTCATATCAGACAAAATAGACTTTAAAACAAAGGCCAGGGGCTTCCCTGGTGGCACAGTGGTTGGGAATCTGCCTGCCAATGCAGGGGACATGGGTTCGAGCCCTGGCCCAGGAAGATCCCACATGCTGCGGAGCAACTAAGCCCATGCACCACAACTACTAAGCCTGCACTCTAGAGCCCGCGCACCATAACCACTGAAGCCCGCGTGCCTAGAACCTGTGCTCCGCAACAACAGAAGCCACTGCAATGAGAAGCCTGCTCGCTGCAACTAGAGAAAGCCCGCCCACAGCAACAAAGATCCAACGCAGCCAAAAATAAATAAAATAAATAAATTTTTTTAAAAAATCAAACAAACAAAGGCCATAAGGAAAGACAAAGGAGGGTATTATATAATAATAAAGGGATCAATACAAGAAAAGGATATTATACTTGTTAACATATACACACCCAATACAGGAGCACCTAAATATATAAAGCAAATACTAACAGATATAAAGGGAGCAACTGACAGGAACACAGTAACAATAGGAGACTTTAACGCCTCGCTGACATCAAAGGACCGATCATTCAGACAGAAAATCAATAAGGCAACAGAGGTCCTAAATGACACAAATGACCTGCTGGACTTAACTGATACATATAGGACACTACATCCAAAAAAAAGCAGAAAACACATTCTTTTTAAGCATGCATGGAATGTTCTCTTGGCTGGACCACATACTAGGACACAAAACAGCCTCGAAAAATTTAAGGCGGTAGAAATTATATCAAGCATCTTTTATGAACATAATGGTATAAAACTAGAAGTCAGCTACAGAAAGAAAAACAAGAAAAACACAAAGATATGGAGACTAAACAACATACTTTAAAAAAAAAAAAATGAGTCAATGACAAAATCAAAGAAGAAATAAGAAAATACCTGAACACAAACAACAATGAAAACAACCTTACAAGATTTATGGGATACAGTAAAAGCAGTTCTAAGAGGGAAGTTCATAATGATACAAGCCTTCCTCAAGAAACAAGGAAAATCTCAAATAAAAACTTATTACCTAAAAGAATTAGAAGAAAAACAAACAAAGCTCAAAGTCAACATAAGGAAGGAAATAATAAAGATCAGAGAGGGAATAAATAAAATAGAGATCAAAAAACAATAGAAAAGATCAATAAAACCAAGAGCTGGTTGTTTTTTTTAAAGATAAACAAAAGTGACAAACCTCTAGTCAGGCTCACCAGGAAGAAATGAGAGAGGACTCAAACAAACAAAATAAGAAATGAAAGAGGAGAAGTAACAACTGATACCCAAAAAAAAAAAAAAAAAAAAAAAAAAAAAAAATCATTCAAAGCAATCTACAGATTTAGTGCGATCCCTATCAAAATACCCATGACATTTTTCACAGAATTAGAACAAAAAAAACCTAAAATTTATAAGGAACCACAAAAGACCCAGAACTGCTAAAGCAATCCTGAAAAAAAGAACAAAGCTGGAGGTATAACCCTTCCAGACTTTAGACTATACTACAAAGCTACAGTACTCAAAACAGCATGGTACTGGCACAAATATACACACACACACAGATCAATGGAACAAAATAGAGAGCGCAGAAATAAACCCACACACCTATGGTCAGTTAATCCACAACAAAGGAGACAAGAATGTACAATAGAGAAAAGACAATCTCTTCAACAAGTGGTGCTGCAAAAGCTGGACAGCTATATGTAAAACAATGAAATTAGAATATTCCCTCACATCATATACAAAAATAAACTCAAAATGGTTTAAAGACCTAAATATACGACATGACACCATAAAACTCCTAAAAGAAAACATAGGCAAAGTATTTTCTGACATAAATCTCAGCAATTATTTTCTTAGGTCAGTCTCCCAAGGCAAAAGAAATAAAAATAAACAAATGGGACCTAATGAAAGTTAAAAGCTCTTGCACAACAAAGGAAACCATCAACAAAATTAAAACCTACGTAATGGGAGAAAATATTTGCAATGATGCAACTGACAAGGGGTTAATATCAAAAATATATTTATAAACAGCTCATATATCAAAAAAACAAATGACCCAATCAAAAATTGGGCAGAAGACCCAAATAGATATTTTTCCAAAGAAGACATACAGATGACTAACAAGCACATGAAACACCATTAATTATCAAAGAAATGCAAATCAAAACCACAATGAGGCATCACTTCACTGAGTTATCACAGTCAGAATGGCTATCATTGAACAGTCTACAAATAATAAATACTGGAGAGGATGTGGAGAAAGAGGAACGCTTGAACACTGTTGGTGGTAATGTAAACTGGTGCAGCCACTATGGAAAACAGTATGGAGGTTCCTTAAAAAACTAAAAATAGAAGTACCCAATGATTGAGCAATTCCACTCCTGGGTATATATCCAGAAAACATGAAAACTCTAATTCGAAAAGATACACGCACCACAATGTTCACAGCAGCACTATTTATTACATAATAGCCAAGACAGGGAAGCAACCCAACAGATGACTGGCTTAAGAAGATGTGACGTATACACACGTACACATACAATGGAATATTACTCACCACACACACAAAACAAAATCACCATTTGCAGCAACATGGATGGATTTATGGAATCTTATGCTTAGTGAAATAAGTCAGACAGAGAAAGACAAATGCTATATGATATCACTTATATGTGGAATCTAAAAAAATAACACAAATGAATCTATATACAAAACAGAAACACTCACAGACATAGAAAACAAACTTATGTTTACCAAAGGGGAGAGGATGAACGGGAAGGACAAATTACAAGTATGGGATTAACAGATATGAACTACTATACATAAAACAGATAAGCAACAAGGATTTACTGTACAGCATAGGGAATTATACCAAAATCTTGTAATAACCTATAATGGAATATAATATGCAAAAACCCCCAAATCACTATGCTGTACACGTAAAACTAACAAAATATTATAAGTCAGCAATACTTCAATTTAAAAAAAAAAAGAACTATATGGAACTTATATACTAAGATCTACCAAGATAGTATATAGGTCGACCAAGCAAAAACTGGACCATTATTTGGTATAAAGATTTTTCAGAAAACATAACTTTATTAATGATAATGTTGCTTAAGCTAAAAAAAAAAACTATCTGAAAATACTTTACCAAATAATCATATAATTTCCCTTTTTAATTGGTTGTGGGTACAATTTTATAACTAACATTATAACACAAAGCACCCTTGCTGCTAGCCTGCCTTGTTTTACAACAACTTTATGCTAATTTATATATTGATACAATACTAATAACTAACAAAATATAATAAGTATTATGGTAAGATTATTGATTCTGAAATACTAGAAAGCTTCATATGATGAAATATCTTAGGTATCATCACTGAATTTTTAAAAACAGGATATTGCTTTTAAACTTTTAAAATCATGTTTATTTAGCTTATTTTAAAAATATATAAATTCTAAAAATATATCATACCCAGAGTAACCGATAAGGACTTTTTACACCTTCCAGTTCTGCCTACATTCCCAAAACGCATCCTGACACCAATGATATCACTGGGCATAGGAGTAGTGGGTTGGGGGCAGCCTCTGAGACAGTCACTGAGGAGGGGCCACACCTCAATGTGAGTCAAGTTACAGTTAGAGCTTAGTCATAGAATAATATGTCTACCACAGGCATCTTTCCTTAAATTTAAATTATTCTTCCATTTATTTCCCTAAAGCCTTTCTTTCCTCTATCTCTAGTTCCTGAATAAGCCCTCATCCTAAACACTCATTTATCTTGCGTTTTTTTCTCTCTTGTTCCACTGGTGTAACATAAGAGTTTATGTTCAGTAAACTATCTTCTGGAGAAGAAAAATCAAAACATGATCAAAGAATTTACCAAGTTTAACTTTTAAGCTCTAAAAACCTAAGTGGTTTAATCGGTTGCCCAAAAGCATTCTTTGTTTCTTTTCCAAGATGATGATGATTCTTCATACATTTCCTAAAAAGAAGAACCATAATAAGAATTTAAAGGAGAGCATTTTAATAAATGCAAATATATCTGAATAAATCAGGCAAATGAATATCACAACTATTTATATCTGCTCCTCTTTTAACAATCCAATAGCCATTTGCATAAGGCACTGAGAGCAAACAAACGAATAAACATGCTCCCTACACTCAAGGACTCAGTCGACTAGGAGAAACGACAGACAAGAAGCCTTAACAAGACAAGGGGCAAACACAGAAAGGAATAAACAATTAATTCCACTTGGGATCATGACAGGAGACAGCCTGGGTAAGGTTATGTATGGACGATGGAAGGTCTTTCAACATTTTTTTCTTTCCAGGCACACCTACTACTTCCACATTTCTAAATATGCGTTTCCAAAGGCCAAAGGGATATTTCCATTAGCTTTGAAATTAACAGACCACCACAAAGGTTCCTAAACAGGTCTGAGCTGCGTGCTGTTGGCAAACACCTTGTAAGTGCGTGCCCTACCCACCTGCCCGTCCCTTGCCTGTATCACAGATGATCTCAAAGCACAGGCTGAAACCAGAACCAGACTAGAATTCAGATAATTTTTGGACAGAAGGGGAGTAAGAATATATCACTTTCTCTTCTCACTCTCTAGTCAGATTCTATTTCTGCAGGGGTAGAAATCCAAATTCAATTATCCTCTGAACACCTGTACACCCTCCCAACCTCTACAGACAGAGAAGTAAATAGAAAGCCCAGCCAGTTCTTGAAGCATCACAATGAGAGCATACCCCCAACGCCTACCCACTCCCTTATTTGGGGGGCCTACCGTCTCATCTACTTTGTCGGCTGGCTGTCCATTCTTTGCTCCAAGGCAAAGGATCTCTTCCAGAGAGGCTCACAATTCATTCTGGAATACTTTTCCTACCTTGCTCTCTCCAGGGTCTCATGGTCTATCAAAATTGTGGCCGCCTTGTTCACAGCAAAGCAACCAGATATCTGAGCTTCACTAAGACAGATTCCTTTCACATATCCTATCCTCTAATCCCTAAGTATCCCGTTATAACAATGGGTTTCAGTTTTTATCCAGAAAATATGGTCACTAAATTTCACAGGTGCTGGTTCAGAGTCCAATTTGCTCATCTCACCACTGGTCCTTCACTCTGGCCTTCTGCTCTACTGGGCAGTGAATCCATTCCTCAGCTTTGCTATCAGCCACAATGTTGTGGGCAATTTGAGGCTCTTTAAGTGTAATTACACATTTCTGAGAATACAGAGTGATCCCACTGTTGAGGTTACTACACCAAGGGAGAAATCAGGGAGCTGGGCCTTTTCCTATCTTCAGAATGCTCTATTTAAGCAGGGACTTGTTTGCTTTTATTGATGGGCTTGATGTATGGACAGAAAACAAGCTAGAATTTCCTACTTAGGTTTTTAAGTCCACTTACTATGCATTTTCTCCAAGGAGGCAATATCCCACTTTTCTTTTCCTAAAATGAAGGAGTTGTAGGAGAAGGCTCTTTTGCCTTGAGAAGTCTCTATTTTAGCCAATGACTACATAGCCGTGCATTATTCCTGCTCTCCAAAGGAAAGACCCTCTAACTCAAGGGAATTCTAATATAAGGGATAATACTTCATATATGAACCACTGGAACGTTCTAGACTAGGAATTCTAACTGTTACCACTTGTTGAGGTCTTCTCCAGGCCATGCATTCTTTGGGGCACGTATTTTTCATGCTTAATAAACCCTGGAAAGGAGATTATTACATAAACATCCTATTTCCTAGGAAAAGAAAACAAGATTCTATAAAGTCAGGGAAGTACATACTCTGTATGCACTCTTCTTTCTTGTTCTTTAAAAATTCACGAGAAAAATCATGTCCAAAGACAAAATTAGATATTTTCCTAACTTACCTTTTTCCATATGGGCACCTTGGCTTTTAAAGTATCAATGGCATAGCTCACAGCTTCGAGGGATGCAGTCCTATGGGCTGAGGACACAGCAATGATAATGCTTGTTTCTGACACTGGAACTAAGCTTTAACAAAATGAAGGAAAAAATTCATCATCTCCTCTGAAGCTACATGTTAAAAAATCTACTAGACATGTGAAAAAAATAAAAATTCCAGTGAAGCATTCCTAGAACTAACTATCCAGTTCTGTTTTACCTAAACATCCCATTTAGTTAGAAAACAGTAATTCATCCCAGTTGCATTTAGCAGGAAGTGCCAAGCTTGTGACTAATCTGTAAGCATGTATCCACTAAATTTATTGAATGGGCAACAAGATGAAAAGTACCTCACTGATTCAACAAATATCTGATCAAACAAACAAGGCACAGTGCCAGGTAATGCCTAGAAATACAAGCTAATCGCATGATGAATATAAGGTAGAACTTAAAGTATTAAATAGCAATGAATAGTAAATAACAGAATTAATAACATTAATAAAATTATAGTTACCAATAACTAATAGATGATAGATTTAGTCCCATTGCTGGGTTCTTTTCAAAGCCTGGAACTCCACTCTTCTTAGTGATACAAAACAGCAAACTAATCTAATGACCTTAAAAGGCTTTTACATCAAAAACAATCAGACTGTCATATAAACAGGGTACAGACTACAAAACAGTTCTGAAAAGGTCTCACGGCCTTGAACACATATCAGCACAGGCTGTTGGGCACAGGGCCAAAGAATCTTGCACATTTGGACTTGTTACAGCATCAGCCATTCTCCAAATGTTACAATGAAACAAGTAGCCTTAAAGGCACAGTCTGCCAGAATGATAAACAAACCTCCCTCTCAGGGTAACACAGGATGCCAATGAAAGATTCCAGAATCAGAATTAGTACAAAGGCAGAAAACGACTACACTTAAACTTTTAAACTGATAAAGGAAAGCATACCCAAGCCGATGGAACACTGCTATGTGTTTGACTGGCCATTTCTGTCTAATGTCACTACAAATTTTTCTGACTTCATTTTCTGCCATTGGTAGATATGCTTCATACTCTAAGCTAATGACTTTTTTCCCTTCGAAGTTATTCCTTGTAGTTCCTAAAATTAAAAAAAAAAATTACAAAATAAGCTTTCTTCCTACAGTAGAAAAAGCACACTAATAGAATAAAAAAGGATTATTTTTGAATAGACAAGTAGCATACCAATTTGTCTAAAAATTACTTTGAAATTTTCTAAACACAAAAACTTGATTAGAAAATCAAGATAATCACCACAAAGGTGAGGAAATAAAATGACACTGATTAGCCAGTTTTACTGAAAACATTCAAATGACAAACCAGTATATATTCCCTTTGTAACAATTAGAATTTGACCCTTAATAGGAAAATATTATGTTCCCAGGATTATCAGAATTCTCTCTGCTAATAATGACTTTGTCTACTTTTTTTTTTTTTTTGCCTTTAACATATGTTAATTTGAAGATTACTAACACAAAACAAGAACTAAAAAAATTTCTACTCACCACCATGGGTAATCTTGGCTAACTGCTCCGTATCTTAAAATCCTCTTACTATTAACACTGAACATGAGAAACACCTGCTAATTTCTACTGTCTTGTATAGTCAATAGATGCTACGAAAATTACAACTCACCTACAAATAGGGATATTGCACCACAGAATGGAGAAATCACCAGCTGTGAGACTTCATCTACTGACAGTTGCTCAGATGTGAATGTTATCATATCTTTTGATTTCTCTTCAACTTCATTTATATCTTTCCTGGAAATAAAATATTACCAAACCTTAACATTGGTACTAGAGTAAAAACACCCAACTTATAGGCTATGTTTCAATTTATATATTTTTTGTACATTAGATGCGTTAGGAGGCATGATTTGATCTGAATGATAAAAATAAGCAAGTGTAAAATTTGAGCAAAACTCAGTAATTTTACAAATATCCCTAACGAATCAAGCATGATATAAAAAGGAACTTACCATTAACGTGATCACTTAAAATGAAATCTATTTCATTTGCCAATGTATTCCAAACTCTGCAATTGCTACTCTTATCTCCTGCACCCACACACATATCACCTCTAACCACTGGATTACCAAGCACCACACCCAGAACTGCCTTTTTCTTCACCCAAAAAAGGAGGGCAAGCAGAATGATGACTCCACAGGAACTGGGTTCATTTCATAATCAGGCACAACCTCAGTTAAGTAACTGAGGAAATAAAGGAATTGACTGCACGCCTATTCACCAGATGCTGTAGAAGTCCTTTGCCATGAATTTCTCATTTCATTCATCAAGCGTTTATTTCGTACTCACTAAGGGTCAGAGACTAAGCCCACACACTGGATACAGACCAGGGAACAAAAGACCTGGCTCCGGCGCTCAGGGCACTTATGCTAGAGGAGGAACAAAGCAATAAATAGGAATTACAAATAGGGATAACTTATGGAACAAACAGCGTTCTAAGATAGAGCATGGGGGCTGTGGAAGGTGTGTTTAAGATATGAGGACCATGCTACTGAAAAAAAACCATTCACATGCTACTGGATTCCAAGATGCTTCAACCTCCTGTACATGTCACCTGAGCTTCTTCCAATTCATCTTGCAATACAATACAGGTAACCCAAACATCGTCTATGAACTTCAGACCACACTGAGTTCCCACAACTTGATTCTATAATAACATAGATTCTAAAACTGCATGTTACAAATCCTGTCAAACACACTCAAATCATACACAATGCTGCTGAGTATCTTCCTAGTCTTCCCAAAGAACAGCTCTAACCATCACACACAAACACACACCTATGGCAGCCCATTGTTTTCTGAATAAATTACAAACTCAAAAAAAATAGTATTTTTCTATATCATGGTGGTGATATGGTGACCACAGTTTCCAAATAAAACTGAGATACATATCTAATGGAGAATTCTATTACTTCCAAATAATAGGACTAAGAAAATCCAATCTCTATCAACATGCCAGGCAATTGGCTTTAAAATATTTATTCTTCACTTCTGGGGCACTACCCTCCAGAAGAGTGGGGAAGAAATGGGTGAAAAAAATAAATAAGCATCCTTGGCTTGTTCTTTTCTTTAATAAAACCGAAGTTTTGTCATCCAATATGATATTTACTTGATTTTGGAGAAAAACATTATCAAATTAAGGAAGTTTTCTTTCATTCCTAACCTATAAGAGTTTTCAATTAGGGATGATTATTAATTTCTACATTATTTATTTCTCAGTTGAGAAATTAAGCCTCATTCTGTCTGCCTCTCCAGACTATACTAAGAATTGTTCTTCAGTATGGAGGAGTCTTAAAAAACTACAAATAGAACTACCATACAACCCAGCAATCTGACTACTGGGCATATACCCTTAGAAAACCATAATTCAAAAAGAGTCATGTACCACAATGTTCATTGCAGCTCTATTTACAATAGCCAGGACATGGAAGCAACCTAAGTGTCCATTGACAGATGAATGGATAAAGAAGATGTGGTACATATATACAATGGAATATTACTCAGCCATAAAAAAAAACGAAATTGAGTTATTTGTAGTGAGGTGGATGGACCTAGAGTCTGTCATACAGAGGGAAGTAAGTCAGAAAGAGAAAAACAAATACCATATGCTAAAACATATATATGAAATGTAAAAAAAAAAAAAAATGGTTCTGAAGAACCTAAGGGCAGGACAGGAATAAAGATGCACACATACACAATGGACTTGAGGACACGGGGAGGGGGAAGGGTAAGCTGGGACAAAGTGAGAGAGTGGCATGGACTTACATACACTACCAAATGTAAAATAGATAGCTAGTGGGAAGCAGCCACATAGCACAGGGAGGTGAGCTCGGTGCTTTGTGACCACCTAGAGGGGTGGGGTAGGGAGGGTGGGAGGGAGACGCAAGAAGGAGGAGATATGGGGATATATGTATACGTAGAGCTGATTCACTTTGTTATAAAGCGAAACTAACACACCATTGTAAAGCAATTATACCCCAATAAAGATGTTAAAAAAAAAAAATACATTATTAGAACTAAAAAAAAAAAAAAAGCAATTATACTCCAATAAAGATGTTAAAAAAATAAATAATAAAAATAATAATGGGTTAAATGTAAAAAAAACAGAAATGTTCTTACACATTAACCTACTCAGACATGGCTTACTTTATTTGGAAAGATGGAAAGATGACATGGGTCCTAGAGCCACTAGCAATATAACTATAATAATAAAGCTGTTTTTTATACCTGGAAAATGGTAAGCGTTTTTCAGGAACAGTGATCTTTTTACTTTCCAGCTATGCAATTTTTCTACATTTCTCTGTGCCCAGGAGAGCTATTTTCCAGTATTAATAAGCATATTTGTGGAAAAGTACACAGAGAGTCCAATAATAACCTGAGTTCAAATGTTGGCTCTGCCACTTATTAGCTATGTGATCTTAGACAAGTTTTTAGCTTCTTCCTCCTACAAAACAGGAGTATTAAAACTCCAGTGTCTAGCGCTGTGCCCGACACAAAATCTCAATAAACCACGTTAAATCAATAGAATGAACAAATCAAGATGACATTAAACTGCTTACAACACAACTGATGCAGAGATGATAGGTATTTATAAGTCCATCTGCACCAATAAAGAGTTGTTGCTTTACCAAGAGTTGGTGCAGACAGCCTTACAAAGACTATACAGTTAAAGGAAACCATATATAAGTTATTATCTGTATGATCCTTTTCCACAAGACTGGCTAAGAAAAACCTATCTCACATACCCAGGTGGCTCAAAAGCACTATCCTCCACTAATGGGGGGGATAATGGCAATTTCGTCTCCTGATTGAAGCAGGAGGAGCTGATCTCCAAGCTCGACATATTCTTGACGAACAGCAAATATCACCTGATTTCTGACGTCAGCCAATCTGAAGGGAAAAAAGTATAATTAGATGTATCAATGCTGTTAGACCCCAAATCTCCTCAGCTGCAATCAAAATTACATAAATATTACTTTATGAAGCATCATCTGCAAAATCACTAATTAAACTCATATTTTGCAGAGAAAGGATATATCCACTGAAGAACATACTTATTCACCACAAAGAATGCAGTAAACTGCTAACAACTCTTTACTGGATGTTGGGTGTCTTGGGGAATTAAAGAAACAAACAAAAAAACACTAGACTGGAGACAACATTCAGACCAGGTCAAAAAAAAAAAAGGACAATTTCTTAATCAGTACATGCCCTCCCCAGGAGTTTTCCATCTAAGCATACAAGTATACTAAGTATACCCTGAAAGGTTCCAAAACACCAGGTGCCTCTCAGTAGGTATAACGTTAAAGGTAAAGTAGGAAGAGGCCCCACTACGTTTCATTGATTATCAGGGCATTTTAAGAACTTAAAAAGATATGAAATCAAGAAGGAATAATTTTCTTTATGAAAATACATTGTGGGCTGTCTTTTACACCGCACTAAGACTTCCAAGTTAAACATTCACACAATTTAAGTGACACTACTAATATACCTGGAACACATTCAAACAGGCCACTTTTATATTTTATTCCAAAAAAGACTCATTGAGGTACGAACAGCAGTAAAATGATACATTTTCAAGAACCAGAAAAAAAATCAAATATTGTAAAAAACTCAAATTCAGCAGCAGCTGTTTGTTATCTTTCATTTTTCTTTCAATCTTAAAAATTTCTATTTTGAGTTCTCTAAAGAAGGGGCAGGACATAAAAGTTTAAAGCACACATTTTTAACAGAATACGTAACAATTTTATTTAACGTTACAAAAATGCAGAATTTACATTTTCAGTATTCTGTAAATTATAAAAGCAAATATAATCATGTCCCTTTGGGAGTATCACAGCTCACTGTGCTTTTTAAGTAAAATATCTTTAACCTTTATTAAGGAAGTTTGCATTTGTAAATACTAGAACTTAAGTTTACAGAAAAAATACAACAAATGATTCTTTTGACATTAAACATGGAAATCTAAGTTAACTTTTTACTTTTATCATTTACTCACACATTTTTAAATATTAAAAAATGTTAATCATATACATTCTGCAAATTTTTAACTACCCAGGATGGCGTGTTTCTATCTCATTCCACAGCTGCAATGCTTTTATTTCTTGTGGCACAGAAATGGTCTCTGAGCGAATTCCTGTTATTTCAGCACTTTCTGCAAAATACAACACTTCCACCTGAAAAGAAAGAATATGTCTTTAACAATAACAACCCATAGTCCTTTTCTGACTGTCCACGTTGGGTTTTGTTTTTCAAATGTATTATTTTAATCAAAGACACTTCTTATAAATTAGAAAAAATTTAAAGTGCCCATAAAAATTTCAGCATACCTACAAGCTCAAATTTTGAAAACTTTTTATGTTTTAAGTACAAGTCAGACTAATTTCCAGATGCTTTTTAGTTTTATAAATGTTATGTGTGCCACAACTAAAATTCTAACAATATCTTCTTAGAAACCATGAGGTTGGCCTTTAACTGACATAAAATTATAGCACCTTTTATACTTAAGCAGTGAACAAATGTCTGAGTCAAGAGATGAATTACACAAATAAATGGCCAAATAAATGAAAGACACGTCCTTCACGGTGTCATATGACCTTTGATTCCAGTCTACATTACATTGAACCCAGCTGTCCAGGATTAAATTATGCAACATACAAACCCTGATATTTCAAAAGCAGATGAGTCTGAAATACAGGATAAACTTCTATTTCCTAGGACAAACCTATGCAGACAGCCTGGTATCTAAGTAACCCACCTGTGACTGAGAGCAAATCATTCTCTACGAAATAATCAGAGGTCTTCAAATAATCAAGGGTTCGCAAATGCACAGATAGAGCACATTTCAGCAAAGAATTCTTAGTTAAGGGCATTTCTTTCTATATTGAAAACTTGTCTTCTTAGAAACGAACAATCTGAGAAGCAAGGGCAAATATCAAGGGTGCTTTAGAAACCAGCTGGTCTTCCAGGCCGTCACCTGCAGAACAAGAGTTAGCGGAACGGACTCGACTTTCGTTGGGGAGACCACAGCAAAGCCTCTGAAGTCGGGAGGGCCTGCCGCGGCGGTGGCGGTAGCCGGGGTCTGGCCGAGTAGGGCCGGGTCTGTGGAGGGAAAAGGCGAGGACAGACACAAGCCCGGAGGGCTTCCCCATTCCTACCTGGCACCGCGGCACCATCCCGCCAGCGAACCCTAGCCGGGGATCCTGGCGCGGAAGCCGAGGCGTCCGATCGACGCAGCGCGCAGGCGCAACCTGCCTGCCCCCCCCCCCTCCGCCCACAAAGAGCATGCGCAGAGCTAGCTCCTCCCCGCTGTTCTCCCCGCTTCGTTTGCGCGGCAGGCTCCTAGAGCTTGGTGTTCGCTCGCGCAGATGGGTCGCGGTGGTGGGCGAGAGCTGTAGGTGTCGCTAACTGGGTAAAGGGCTGGCCACGCATGTCTTTAGCCTCAGCTGAGAGGCTGAAGTGTGGGAGAGCTGACCCCGGACTCTCCTGGACATCTGCCACCTCCGTTATAGAAGCTTGACTGTTTTCGCCGCTCAACTGCAGGGTCCTCTTTAACACTTATCTACCCAGCCTTCTGCTTTATGATTACTGTTCCCTAAAGACTTAAAGCATTCACCGTATCTGAGCACTCGAACTGTATCACATTTACACTTTTCCTGTTTACTACCTGTTTACCACACGCCATCTAAAACAGCGGCCCCCAACCTTTCTGGCACCAGGCACCAGTTTTGTAGAAGACAATTTTTCCACGGAGGGGGGGGCGGTGGTTTCAGAATGATTCAAGTGCATTGCATTCATTGTGCACTTTATTTCTATTATTATTACATTGTAATATATAATGAAATAATTATACAACTCACCATAATGCAGAATCAGTGGGAGCCCTGAGCTTGTTTTCCTGCAACCAGATGGTCCCATCTGGGGGTGATGGGAGACAGTGACACCCCAAGTGTGTTGCTAATGTCCAGTCTCCTCCGTGATATCGTTTTGGTTGCTGTCACTGCAGAAAACCCTGCTTCACAAAGACAGGATGTTGGAAATGCAAGCAGGCTTTTCAGTGCTTTTGGGGCAATCTCAGGATACTCCGCCTTGACGTTAATCAAGAACATATGGAGATTTGAAGTTGTCTCAAGCGTAATTTTAAGGGCACTGTCATTTGCGATCTCAAGCAGCTGATCCTCTTCTAGCACAGACAAAGTTGATTCACCTGGCTTATTCACAAATGGGTCTCAGATCAATTCCTTCCCAGTTCAGGGGTCTTTTGTGGTTGGGAAGTAATGCTCAAATTCTTCTGAAAGCTGAGAAAAGTGATCGTGCACCAGCTAGAAGAAAGAAGGCCCTGCTTCAGTGTCTCAAAATCTCTGCTAATGTTTGAAACATGTCAAAAATCCCAATGTTCACTCATTGCCCCCATAATTCCAGTTTGGCTTTGAATGCAGCCACATTATCTGCTGACTTAAACACAGTTGTTGTTCTCCCCTGAAGTGACAGGTTGAGTTTGTTGAGCAGGTTGAATGTGTCACACAAGTAAGCAAGTTTTGCGACCCATCTGTGCTGCCAGGGGTGACTGTTTTTCTAAAAGAAATCTCTGGAGCAGCTCTCGTAACTCAGAAACTCTGGCCAGTGATCTACCTTTAGAAAGCCATCTCACTTCTGTGTATAAGAGAAGACGTGCATGAACAGACGTGAGCTAAGGGCATGTACTTTAATGTGGTTGATAATTTTAATCGCACCCTGCAAAACGTTAAGTTCAGGTGACATTTTCCAGCTAGCCAGCATTTATCTATGGATGACACAGTGCGTAGACTCACATTCAGAAACGACCTCTTTGACCCGAGTAGTGAAACCAGAAGGCCGTGAAGTCACGGCAGCAGCTCCAGCCATGCATATACTGACACAAAATGACCAATTCAGTTTTCCTGATACGTAATCATTCAAAGACTTGAATAGTTCTGCAGCTGTGGTGTTGGCAACAAAAGTGCACATAACATATCCTCATGTACATCCTCCTGAAAAATAGATTACACAAAAACAAGCATTGTTGCCTTGTTGTCAACATCAGTAGACTTGTCAACCTGGATTGTGGACCACAGTGACTCATTAATCCTAACAACTGTGCCTCAATATCCTCTGCTATTTCATCAATTCATCTAGTTACGGTGCTAGCCGAAAGAGGAATACATGTCATCTTTTGAACCGCAGCCTCTCCTAAAAGTTCATGACAAATGTCCTTAGCAGCAGGCAGGATCAACCCTTCACCAATAGTAAAGGGCAATGTGGTTAGCCACTAAGAATGATGCTCTCAGTGCAGACACATTTGATGAAGTGGTGAACTTCAATAACTGCTTCTGTTATTTGTGTTCACGCTTTTTTCTTTTGAAAAACTCCAAAGGCTTGTCTTTTAATGCAGGGTGCTTGACCTCCATGTGGCGACGCAGTTTTGAAGGTTTCACGGCTTCCTTGGATAGCCGGTCGCCACATATTATACAAAGTTGGCTTGGAGAATGTGAATCACCTGTTGCAATGAACCTGTAATTTAAGTAGGACTCTTGGTATTTTCTTTTAAATGCAGCTTCCTTTTTGTTGGCAGTCTTAGAGTCTTCTGCTGTCTCATCATTGGGTCTTTCCCCCTTTTCAAAGAAGCTCTCCAGTGATGTTTGTTTTTTACACATTTTGGGTAGGGTTAGCTTGTGGGCTTACCAAAACTCTGACTGAGACAAGTGTGCAGTGCCGGAAAGAGGCGCAGATGGAAGTGGTAAATAAAATAATGGGTGGGCCAAGCGCAGACTAAAATAAGTGTCGGATTCTGACTTAAAGCCTGCCACCAGATGCAGCTTAATTGTCATCACTTGCCACTCACTGATAGGGTTTTGATGTGAGTCTGCAAGCAGTTGATTTATTATGGTCTCTGTGCAGTCAAACCTCTCTGCTGATGATAATCTGTGCTTGCAGCCGCTCCCCAGCACTAGCAACACTACCTCAGCTCCACCTCAGATCATCAGGTGTTAGATTCTCATAAGGAGCGGGCAACCTAGATCCCTCACATGTGCAATTCACAGTAGGATTTGCGCTCCTATGAGAATCTAATTCTGCCGCTCACCTGACAGGAGGCGGAGCTCAGGCAGTAATGTGAGTGATGGGGAGCAGCTGTAAATACACATGAAGCTTTCTTCTCTCAGCTCGCCCGCTGCTCACCTCCTGCTGCGCGGCCCGGTTCCTAACAGGCCATGGACCAGTACTGGTCCATGGTCCAGGGGTTGGGGACTCCTGATCTAAAATCTCCAATATTTTACCAACATAAACTCTTTTATTTATTTATTTATTTATTTATTTATTTTCCTCATTAAACTTTTTTAATGGGTCTCAAATTCTGTGACAGATTTTTGGTCAAGTTGCTTCCATGAAAAAGTACTGATTTTTAAAACTAATAACTTTTTAATGGGTCTCAAATTCTGTGACAGATTTTTGGTCAAGTTGTTTCCATGAAAAAGTACTGATTTTTAAAACTAATAACTTGAAACTGCCACACACGAAACAAATGGTCCACAACACATTCTCCTTTCCTTCTGAAGGTTTTACGATGCATTGTTATTAACCAGTCTTTTGCTATTAAACTTAAATGGCCAATTGAGACAAACAGTTCTGAGACCGTTCTTCCACCACTGATTAAGACTGGGGTGGCAGGTATTGGGGATAATATTCATTTAGCCTCTGAGCTTTCTGGGCAGACTTGGTGACCTTGCCAGCTCTGGCTGCATTCTTGTCCACTGCTTTGATGACACCCATAGAAACCGTCTGTCTCATGTCACGAACAGCAAAGCGGCCCAGAGGAGGATAGTCAGAGAAGCTCTCAACACACGTGGGTTTGCCAGGAACCATATTAACGATGGCAGCGTCACCAGATTTCAAGAATTGGGGGCCATCTTCCAGCTTTTTCCCAGAACGACGATCAGTCTTCTCCTTCAGCTCAGCAAACGCGCAGGCAATGTGAGCTGGGTGACGGTCCAGCACAGGTGCGTAGCCGGCACTGATTTGGCCTGGATGGTTCAAGATAATCACCTGAGCTGTGAAGCCAGCTGCCTCCATCGGTGGGTCATTTTTGCTGTCACCAGCCACACTGCCACGATGAACATCTTTGACAGACACGTTCTTGACATTGAAGCCCACATTGTCCCCAGGAAGGGCTTCACTCAAAGCTTCATGGTGCATTTCAACACACTTCACTTCAGTTGTCACATTGACTTGAGCAAAGGTGACCACCATGCCAGGTTTGAGAACACCAGGCTCCACTCGACCCACAGGGACAGTGCCAATACCACCAATTTTGTAGGCGTCCTGGAGGGGCAAACGCAAGGGTCTGTCAGTTGGGCGAGTTGGTGGCAGGATGCAATCCAGAGCTTCAAGCAGTGTGGTTCCACTGGCATTGCCATCTTTACGGGTGACTCTCCATCCCTTGAACCACGGCATGTTAGCACTTGGCTCCAGCATGTTGTCACCGTTCCAGCCAGAAATTGGCACAAATGCTACTGTGTCGGGGTTGTAGCCAACTGTCTTAATGTAGGTGCTGACTTCCTTTACAATTTCCTCGTATCTCTTCTGGCTGTAGGGTGGCTCGGTGGAATCCATTTTGTTAACTCCAGCAATTAGTTGTTTCACACCCAGAGTGTAGGCCAGAAGGGCATACTCACGGGTCTGCCCATTCTTGGAAATACCTGCTTCAAATTCACCAACACCAGCAGCAACAATCAGGACAGCACAGTCAGCCTGGGATGTGCCTGTAATCATGTTTTTGATGAAGTCTCTGTGTCCTGGGGCATCAATGATGGTCACATAGTACTTGCTGCTCTCGAACTTCCATAGGGAGATATCAATGGTGATACCACGCTCGCGTTCAGCTTTCAGTTTGTCCAAGACCCAGGCATACTTGAAGGAGCCCTTCCCCATCTCAGCAGCCTCCTTCTCAAACTTTTCAATGGTTCTCTTGTCGATCCCACCACATCTGTAGATCAGATGGCCAGTAGTGGTGGACTTCCCCGAACCTACGTGTCCGACGACAACGATGTTGATGTGTGTCTTCTCCTTTCCCATTTTTGCTTAGGTTTAGCGGTGGTTTTCACGACACCTGTATCCTGGCGGCAAACCCGTTGTGAAAAAAGATAAACTCTTTTAAATTGCATAGTTA